TATCACGATGCTCCTATGTGTCTAAGTCATTTTTAAAATTAGCCCATGAAAATAAGCACGTGTAAATGAGCACCCTCTACTGCCTTGCACTTCCCAAGTCAAAAGAAAGACATTGTATTTTCACAGGCTCTAGTAATGCACATCTTTTGTTTCAAATTCAAGTGGCAGTATTGTCACAATTTTTTTTTGGGGGGGGGCCTTCCGGTATAAACCGGAAGACCTACTAGACAAATTCAAAAAGAGCTGTAAGCACTAGTATTGTCACAATATTGATTGCGATGGCCTTCCAGGGTTTATGAACAACAGGTCCCAGTTTTCTCAAATGCGGTTTTTGCAAATGAGTGGGAAGAGATGCTGTAGCAGGGAAGGCATTCTAAGTGCAGTCCTTTTAGGGCTGGGCTCTTTAAAATCAAGAGTCTATTTTTGGTCTTGGCCGCCTAAGGAGATGAAACTACATTCGTCTTTAAAGCATTGATCTGAATCCTTCAGGCAAAACTGGGGCTTTGGTCTATTCTTGGATGGTTTGATTACTTCTGCCCAGAAAAGACTCATAAGCCTTCAAGGCCTGACACATGGCCTCTATCCATAAATAGAGCCTCCGCTCTCACAAATAACCTTTCTTATCTGGCAAAAGAGGGAGGGTCAGGAATGGGCCTGGCACAGCGACCTGAACCACAGCCAGGGTGTGGGTACCGGTGGAGGTGACCCACAGCTCTGTGCTCTGGCACGTGGGCATCCGTCATACAGTCCAAGGCCTCATGGCCTCTAAGTCACAAGAGATATTTGTGCCCTGGGAACCACCCCCACCCCCGCCACTACCCCACCATCATAATAGAACGTTTTGTTTCCTTCTCCATCACCTTTGCATCCCAGTGCTTGACNCTTCAACACCACTTCAAAGCTGAGGGATGAAATGCTGACTTTGTCATCTTCCCTCTGAGTTACTTTTTGTTCTTTCATTTAATCTTTAATGTATTAGTCAGAAAACGTTTTCTTTATGATACCAATGCTTTACAACTGATTGAGAACTCCTTTCTAACCCATCAACACTCATTTTATAGAAAGGATCGCTGTGTAATTGAAAATATATTTTCTAACGTGGGTGTGCAGGATTTAATATTTTTTCCTTACATTGGTCTCATTAAATGTATATTCAAATGATATGTATCTATACTAACTTGTTGTCTATTGATCTATTACTTACGAAGGAACTTTTGTTAAAATCCTCCACCACAATGGTACTTTTGTCAATTTCTCGTTTAATATTGTGAGTTTTCTAGCTGAAGGAATATTTTTTTATACATCCATATTTATGACCTGTGCAGAAGAGCTAGACTTTGACACCTCTGAGATAGAAACGGACATGATGACACAGATGAGGGACCAGCAGCGTGGCTGGGGCAGGAGAGCGCTGGGTGAGCTGTGCACGCTGGGGCCAGGGAGGTGGGCAGAGGAGACCAGCAGGGCCTTATAGGGCAACGGCCCTGGACAGGGAAGACGGACAGGAGCAGAGACCAATGAGAATGTGAGCTGAGGGAGAGCCTTAGAGAGAGACAGCAAAGAGGTGCCCAAGGAGAGATGGGGGGTCTAGATGGACCTGACTTGCCAATGATTTTCCAACCTGGAGGCGTCAGACTCAATCAAATGACTAGAAAAGTTAGAACTGGGGAAGCCCCTTACCAGGCAACGGGCAACTGCAGAGGAAAGGGAGGCAGCATCAGTGGAGACACGTCTGCCTGAATCCCCGGAACTATGCAGGCCTGTCAGACACTGCCCTGAAGATGGAACTTGGCACACACCGAGGTTCACCCTGTATGCACAGGCCACTCGGGGCTCCAAGGCTCCCAGGGTGGGAGTTGAGGCTGCACAGGCTCTGCTGAGTCTGGGGTGTGGAGTCTCCCCCTGCCTTTTTGTGCAGAGAGGAGGTGGCGGTGCAGCGCTGTGGAGTCACTGCTGGCACAGAAGTACACAGATGTCTGGTAGGGGGTAGCCGACTCCAGCGTGAGGGGGAAGTTCTCTATCTTTGATCTGGAGACACTGTACCCGTCGGGGACATCTCCTTTGTCGGTGCTCCCTTTAGTGGCTGAGTAATAGATCAGCCTCAGCCCATGGCCCGGGTCTTGTCGATACCAGTACATGTAGTTATGGTTCTCAGTCTGGAGACATCTCAGAGTCACTTCCTTTCCTGTCCCTGTGACCTTGTATCTTGGGCTCTGGGTGATTCCGGCATCCATGTGTCCTGTAATAGAAAGTGACAGAGCCTGACGTTGTCATCCTAAGAGGAAGGCTTGTACTGAGGTCTTGGAATTCCAGGGATGGTAGCCCACCTGGACTCACCTGCCCACAGGAGACAAAGGACCACACAGAAGAAGAGCCTGGTGGCCATTTCAGGTCCAGGGCAGAATCTCGTGTCTTCCAGTGCTGTTTTGAGGAACTAGNGTGAATCTTTGTCTGGTTTGGGTATCATAGAAGCGATGGCCTCAGGATGTGTAGGGAATAATTCCCTATATTTCTGTTTTTCCCCTAAGCACTCCTTTAGTGGCATCTCACCCATTCTGATAGGTTAGATTTTTATTTTTCATTCCATTCAAATCCTTTATAATTTCCATTTTGCTTTGTTCTTTGTCCCATGGGTTATTTAAAAGATTGTTATTCATCCAAGTATTTGGGATATTTTTCCAGAGCTCTTTCTGTTATTGATTTCTAATTTAGTTCCTCTGTTGTCAGAGAACATGCTTTTTATCACTTGAATTCTTTTTGAAGTATTGATACTCTTTTTATGCGACAGAGTCTGTCATCATCCTGGTACATGGTCTGTGTGCACTAGAACAGCACATGTATTGTCTGCCGTTGGGTGCAGTTTTTATAAATGTCAGATCGAGAGTGGTTACCAAGGCTGTTCATGACTTCTATATCCTTACTGATTATTATTGTTGCTATTATTTTGGTCAAGTTGTTCCATTTATTACTGAGAGGTGTTGAGATGTCTGGCTATAATTATGAATTTATACTTCTGAATTTATAATTGTGAATTTGTCTACTTCTCCTTGCAGTCTCCCCCTCTCTGCTTCCGTATTTTGAAGCTCTGATTTTAGATGCAAAAATATTTACAATTGCTATGCCTTCTTGATAGATTGTCCATTTTATCATTAATTAGTATGTGACCTTCTTTATCCCAGATGATATTAATATTCTCTGCTCTGAAATTTCCTTTGTCTGAGATTTATATCCAGCTTTCTTTTGATTAGTGTTAGCATGGCACATCGTTTCCATCATTTTACTTGTTATATTCTGTGGTTTTATATGTATAGTGCATTTCNGGGGGCTGAGGATGTGATGGAAGGAATAGGGCTCCATTCTGATGGTCTCTATTTAACTGAACCCAGCCCTTCTTCTATCAGCTCCTTTGTGTGATCACCAGTCCCTCTGAAGCCAGGACTTTCTGGGAGCATTACAGCTTCTTGCATATCAGACATGATATGAAACGGGAAGTGCTGTCGTGGGTCCCATTTTCATTTTTCCTTAAAAGGCCACCTTTTTAAGTGAATTTCATCGAATAAATGATCAGATGACAGTATTTGCATTTCAGATGGCTTTGTGTCTAGAACACAGGTGAGTCAACCAAAGTAACCCTGTCGGCCTTGATGCCAGATTTGCACATGGGACATAATGGTGCTCGACCTGAGATGTGTCAGCGTTCACAGGGAACTAAGATTTCTTGAGCCTGTACTTGGTAGGAGGCAATTTGTTTCATTTGCTTGAGTAAAATCTCTGCAAGACACTTCTTGATTGGTGTCAGAGCCAGCATTTCTGAAAGGGACGTTTGGGTCAATGTTCTAATTTTGAAGATGTCTCCCTCTACCAAAATGTGGAAGGACAGACTGGTTTAAAGCAGGGGTGGTTGTCAGTATGGCCTGTGTTTGAGTCCCAGTTCCGTTATTTGCTAGCTGTGCATCCTGTAGTAAATTACATAAACTCTCTAACAATCAGTGTTTTCACTTAGAATGTGGGGAAGTCATGCTACCTCATGGAGAAAATGAGCAATATATAAGGCAACAGAATTAAATGCACAAAAGGGGTAGAATTAAAGCATCTGCATTCACGAGTAAACTTGTACCTGCAGTCTGCAAATGGCTACACCACATACATTGAATGGCTGTGACCCTCAGCTGTTTTCTGCAGGTCCTCACCTGGGCAGAATAGCAATTGCTGATTTTCTGATCTAAAGTGGTGGCCTGAGGGCAAGCTGCACCCATCAGAGACACTCCCTCCTTCACGCCTTCCAGTCCTTTAGAAGCAGACTTCCCTGTATTAACCTCCAGAGCTCCGATTGAAATAACTAGAGGGCTCTTTCCTTGGCTGAATCCTCTGAGGTCTGGAAATCCCCCTATTCACCTAGGGCGGATATCATGGCCCTTTTCTTTGAACTATGACAGGAAAAATACACCCTCCCTGGCTTCAAGTTTTATGTCCTAGAAGTTTGCAGGCAATCGATTGTCATGACCACACACAATGAGTTGTAACACCCTCCCTTCAGCTCCCCCCATCCCAGCTCAGCTGGTCTTGAAATGGAACAGACAGTGCTCTGTTATCTCTATGAACAAGGCCCAGGAAGCACCATGGGATTTGAGGGGAATGTCGGCTTGGGAGGCGTGGAGATGTGGGTTTGACTCCTGCCTCTGATCCGTTAAATAGGAAATATTTGGACCTTCCAGCAGTACGGCTTCCTCTCTGTCATATGGGACTGAGATCTCCTTCACCTGCAGTGGGGACACGCTAATGGTGACCTTGTATTAAGACACACGATGTGTACCTGCACTGTAGCACAGGCCAGGGGCTCCTGCCACATGCTGGGAACTAGAAGGTGCTGGCAGAGCTGTGAGAACTTTCAGGAATGCTCTGGCTGAGCTCAGTAGGGCTGGGAGGGCTTTAGAAAAGAGCTAGAAGTGTCCTGGAACTCGGCTAAGGACCCCACCCTCTCCCTCTGATTCCTCAGCTGGGACAGGAAGGTTTGAGTACAGAAAGGCATTAACCCTGCAGGGCTGTGTCTAAGCTGCTGGCACA